AAACGTTTAACCATGGTTACGCGAACGTATACCTTGGCATCACAACTATGTCACGCATGCGTATACATAATTGCAATAGTTAATCTAGTTTTAAAGTGAACCTAAAAAAGTGATTATGTCTCTAAGTATTCTACATCACTTAGCTAGGTGTAAAGGTTCAATACTATATGAGACACTTATTTGATCAAATGGGGCAACTTTATTTATTAACTGCTAAACAGGCCCAGATTTTGAAGTTTGGGGCCTGAGTGAAACAAAACAGTTGTGTTAGAATCTTAACATGGAATCTTTATGCGTTTGAAATTTGTTCAAAAATTGTAGGACAGAGTATTGGGCTTTAACATTAAGCCCATAGCACCAAACTTTATCACTTTCAAACCATTACTCTAATTGTAATTGCATCACACTAATTTGACGAATTCATCACTGATTCTGTCATGCTTATAACAGTAATATAAATCAATTACAACAATCAAATTCAACATGTATCTAACTACAATAGATAATACAATGCATTCATGCCCACAATTATATTAAAATCCTAAAATGAATATCTTTCTACATGAGCAAATTTAGACTAAAGTGGCTTCAAACACTCTTGACACAATCTTTTTTGGCTTTGGGGTTTACAAATTGACCAATTAATGGCCAGATCCATGAACATCCGCCATATCTGTTGCAACAGTGACCTTTTTCTCGTTATGCATTAACACAGATAATCACCCAGACATATATTATAGCAGTGTCGAATCCTGAATTCATGCTTAATCAAAGAGAGCTAGAAACAGAGATTAACAGCAGCAACTCATGATTTCACAATTTATTCTTGTGTCTGCTTAGAAGAAATGACAACAGATACATTCAGAGAAAACTTGCATGAGCTTATTTGATTTAATAACAACCTTAAATCAAGATAAGTGAACAAAAGTAACAAATTAGCCCAGTTAAATGAGTCAACATGGCATGTGTATTCAACTTGAACTAAACAACTGAAGCAGATTTAGTCATAGAACAAAGATGGATCAAATTAATCCTACAAACATCAGAAAATACATAGAAGTAGGAATAAGCAAAGTATCAACATGTCTATTATGTATTTCCATATTCATAAGAGTTACAAGGAGAGAATCTCACATACCTTCTATGAAAGATAGTCAATAAATGCCAAATAAATGCTGAAAAAACTGGAGAAATAGATCAGCAAGCTCAAAAACAGCAATAATCAAGCAGACAATCAGCAAAGAATAGCCCCAAAATAAGCTTCAAACTTCAGTCCAAAATCATCTCAAGAAAGATCAGAAATGAATGAAGAAGACCAGAACTTCTTAGAGATATCTAGTAATTCTATGTGTGTTTTCTGCTAAGAATGCAGGAAAGGAAAATGCAGGGGGGTTTTCTGTGTGTATTCAGAGGATTCACCGTATGTCCAATGAAAGAAAATGAGTGCTCTTATATAGAGGAGAAATGCAAGAAGGGATAAGGATGGGAGAGGGTCCAAAGGGGAATATTCCAGCATAGATTTTAGAGATGTCAGCCGTAAAAAAGGATAGGACAACATCTTTTTTAACAGATTTTGGTACAGTTGTCCTTTTACCCAATTTTCAGCATCTTTTAACACTATAAATGGACAGTTGTCCTATACTAGAAGCTTCTGATATTTTTTTACCTGAAATTCATCCATTTTTACTTCCCAACTGACCCCTTTAAGTTCTGATTAACACAAATAGCCACCCTAGTTTCTGATTTTCTATGCCCTAAACTTCCCTGTTCCTTTTAGACCCCTTTAGCTTCTGTTAATTACAAATAACCACCCAAAAGAGTAAATAAGCTCAAAAAACTGAATTAACAAATTATTTCTATTTCCAAAAATCCCCATTAACCTTAGGTTAACGCTGAATGAACCATTGCAAAACCATACGGATCCAAACAAAAGCAGTAATGCAAAACCAGTTAGCAACTAATTTGGTTTGATACCTAATTAACTTAAAATTTATTAAACTAACAACTCATACAATAAAACTGATTAACAAGCAATTGAACTGATTATGTTATTAATATCACTTTAAACAACAGTTTAACAAGTTTTAAGGGGTAATTAAAGTCAAACTAATCTATGGATTCTAAACTAAACACTGATTAAATTGAAATTATCGAATGACCTTAAATTAACACAATGGTCGCACATTCTGGTCAGACGAGGAAGAAAGAAAAAATATAAGAAAGGAAAAGAGAGGAAATCAACAAAGAGAACAGGGATACCTAGGGTAGGCAATAAGGACGACTGACTTAAACGGACTCCGGCGAACCCGAAATTCTTTGAAATAGACCAAAAATAACGTTAATCAATTGTTCTCGCCGAGAACAATCAACTAGCGTAGGTTTTGATCAAATCGAGTCTTGAAAACTCAGAAAAAATCAGAAAAAAGGAAAAGCTAGGGTTTCTGTTTTCTAGATCCGGATTTAGAGGAATTCGGTGGGGTTTTTGGGGCAAATTGATGTTGGATTGATGAAGAGGGTGAGGTGAGGAGTGTGGGGTAGTGATTTGGATGGGTTTGGGAGTGGTCCACCGCCGTGAGGCGATTTTCGGGCGGTGGAGGACGGCGGAGCTTTGAGAGAGTAGATAGATGAGTTATGGGGGGTCTAGGGTTTGGGGGGTTAGGTCTCTTCCGACACTTTTAAGGGATTTGGGGCTCAGTTGCGAACCGTTGGATCCAACAGCTGGGATTAGGAGAGGTGAAACGATGTAGTTTTGATTAGTGGGGGTTGGATCGGATTTGGACCAGGTTTGGGGTTAAATATGGGGCGGATTTTGGTATTCTTTCGGCCAACTGAGGCAGGCCCAATGCATAATTTCCTTCTTCTCCTTTTTTCTTTGTTTTTCATTTCATCTTTTCTTCTTTTTTTTAATGCTTTTTAATAAAATCCTAAATAAGCTAAATAAAATCCTAACTTAGATTCTAAATTAACCTATTTTATAAAATTAATCTTACTTATTTTCACTAATTTAACACTAATTAATTAAAACTGGAAATGTGGCCATGACTATGGTAATTTTTTATGATTTTTGTTTAATAAATGCAATTAACTTATGCAATTACTCTAAATGCAATTAAGGCCTAAAATGCTATGTGATGATGATTTGGATATTTTTGATATTTTCCTATGATTTTAAAATATTAAATGTGCACAAAAAATGTAACTAAATGCAAACAATTAATTAAGAAAATCCTACAAAATTCTATAAAAATAAAAATAATTTAGAAAAACCTTTTTTTTAAATTTTTGTAGGAGTATTTCTAGTCGGGCAAAAATCACGTGCTCACAAGGACCGGTATTTTTAACACATAATCTCACTTTCTATCAGAGTGGGCAGTTTTAATCAAAACCAACTTCCCTAAGTAGCCAATAGGAATTTGGCAAATTTAATTTAATATTATTAAACCCAAAATAACTTGTAAACAACATGGGCCATATTTTACATGAAGATCCTTTGCCTACATAGTAAGACTTCTCTTTGTTCCTGCAAATGATTAATTTGGCAATACCATGTGGACTCCGAAAATGTTGTTATTTGTTACAACTTGCAACCCACGGCTGAGCTTTCTCTTTATTTCTTTTGGTTCTTTGTTCTATTTTAATTTTTTCATTTATTTTGAAAATATTATTTTCTTTACAATTTTGGTGATACAATACGACCAATGTTTTAAAGGGCGGCGGCATAAGATAGAGCGTTTTACTTAACATGGAGCGAGACGTAACTCTCGAGACATGGGGCGTAAGCCCCATGATCTTTAAATATTTTAATTATAAATTAATAAAATAGCATAATAACCACAAAAAGATATAAAGTTCATTAAAAGTGTAAGTAAATTAAAAAAAATTATACACTCATAAAAAAATAAAATATACAGCATTTTTAATAAATATAAATAATGAAATAGTGTTAAAGTTACTATGAGTTAAAATTAACTATAACATCTTATCTTTCAAACGATTAAAAAATTAAAATTAAAATATTATCAAACTACACAATTTACCTCTCTAAAATTAATAATCAATAAACTTCATCAATACTATAATTTAATTATTACTCCTTATCGATAAATATATACATTATAATAGTAAAAATATAAAATTTCACCATTCAAATAATATTTACTCTCCAATGTTCTCAATTAGTAAATATACAATACTATGGCAGTATTTTGAGTTACTCATAATCTTCATATTTCTATAGATGAATAGAGCGTTAACCATTTTCTTTTAATTTTTTTTTGAGGATCAACAATGCTAATTAGTGATTTTGACGTATGATTTGCATTAGGATTAGTAGGAGAGTCTAGGGCGGTGAGTATAAGGCGTGCTTGGGCGCACAATCATATTCTTATGGCGTAAGTTTCACAAAACTAAATCTCACACATGAGCCTCATGGCATTTTGATAGTGTCTCACCCCAGGCGAGCCTCGAGGCGACCCAAGAAAGCCTTTTAAAATACTGAATATGACTTTGCACAACATATTTTACATTCGCACATTCGTGGACCTAAATTTCTTAGATCTGAATATGCCAAAGAAGTTCAAATTAAAATACATGTCAAGGTGAAATTTAAAATTTCTAATATCAAAATTTTCCCTTACATCGAATAACATTTGATAAAAATGGTTTAGTAATTTAATGAAAGAAACTAAATGGATCTTTTCTTCATAGGTATATAAAATTAAAAAAATTCAATTAATCAGTAATAATTAAGTAATCACTGGATTGGAACTCATAACTCATAAATCAAATAGTGACCTCTTGATCATTCAACTATCTTTATAGGAACCTTAGTGATACGATTTGAATAATAATTTTTTTTGTTGAATCAAAATTATTGTTGTGAAAAATATTTTACAAATATAATTGCTCAAAAATTTTATAATCTTTATTTTTTAGAACACAATCAAACCCGGAATTATCCATTTATCTAAGTTCTAACCCGTTCATTGCCCAGTAACCCGAATCTGTATCCGATAGTAGGGTACATCGCGGTTCCTTTGATTATTATTATTAGCAAGTAGCAACGCAGAATAATATCTACCCAAAAGCTCACTCGTGAATGAGTTCCCCCAAATCCCTGCCCTCTCTATTTCTAGTTCTCAAATTCATCCAATTCGTGTCTGTTAGTGAAGTATAATTAGGGTTAGGGTTAGGGTTCGGTGCTAAGAATCGAGTGCCGGGGCCCATTGGGAGCACAGTACAATGTACTCTGACCGGGTGGATGCAGTAACAAAGAGGTCGATAAAGGATAGGCTTAACGACAACAGTGCTGATGATTTTTCTCGCCGGAGACAAATTTCCGGCAAGAGGTGTTAGCTTTTTCTCGCCTTTTCTACTTACACTTATCATTCTCTTCTTTTGGCTTCAGATTTTTATGTTTTTTCATTTTTCTTCCTGTACTACTTATATCTTTGTACATTTGTGAATATGCATTTGTGTTAGATGTATTTTTATTCATTTAAGCTTGGTTTTTTCTTCAATCCAGTAGAGGATTGGTATCAAGAAGACCAAAATCCCGCATCTGCTTAGCGCAAAGAGTGCTGTCTTGGTTATAATAGTACTATCTGAGATGCGTGTAATAGCAGTTTTAAAATTTTTTCCCCCTTTTTTTTGCTATATATAGTAGCAGTTTAAATTTATATTGGCTCAGTTTTTATTACGATCCTAATTCCTTTGGGTGCAATTCATTTATTAAACGTGGTCAAGCCAGTTGAGTACTTGTAGCAGCTCATACCACCTGTTAAGCAGAGGTATTGAGAGCATCCTTCCCTTGTAATGGTTAATTGTCTTCTTGGATAGTGTGTTGTTGCCTTTCTCCTTGTTGTTGCATACTGCCTATTGCAATTTCGAAACCAAATAAATGTCTTTTGGGGCTCTAGCCCATTGTAGATTGGAGTATTGGACTCTCTGCTTGGCGTTCAAAAGCATAAAAGGACTAGCCAATCTAATGATTAGGATTTGGAAGAATGCCGAATGAAACTTGAACTTGGTTCACACAGTCAAGCAGCAAAGACCTTTTTCTCTTCGGGAACTTTCGTGATGGCTATAAATCTTGCCCTCGTGAAAGGCTATTGGGATCAATCCCTCCAACCCTTCTTGTATTCTTTGAGTGAGGATTGAACAAATGGAAGACCTGGACTTGGTTCACGCAGTCAAGCAACAAAGACATGTTTCTCTTTGGGAGCTTTCGTGACGGCTATAAAGAATGGGTCTTTCCACTCGTGAAATCAATCCCTTCAACCCTTCTTGTATTCGTTGAATGAGGATTGAAAAAAATTGCAAAAAATTACTATTTACCATCTTGTCAAAGGCTCATTCAAGGGTGCTTAAGCCTTGAAGCTCAAAAAAGCTCGAGGAGGGTGTTTCGCCTCGCTTAAGTGCGCTTCTTGTGTAGGCAAAGCAATAAGGTGTGCAGACTCATTGCGAATGAATTCTATCTTGAATTGAGTGGTACTAAACAATAAGTGTATTAGTTGTTAAGGAAAACATCATAAATGACTTTATTACTTTTTTTTAATCTACATTATATTTTTATTTTTTTCCTTCATTGGACCTTTTTTTAATAAAGCCACACTTAAATTGCACTTTGTGCTTAAAGTTCCAACAGACCTTGAGCGCTTTTCAGAGCTTTTCGCCTTTGACAACACTGGTTATTTATAAGTACTAGTGGTGATAAAAAAGTACATGAGATTAATCATACTTATCTTTGCACCTTTAAGCTTCACTTGGTGGAATCCTATTAATCTTCTGGTTCAATTATTGTTATCTATTTTGCAGGCACAGAGAAGAGGATGACAAATGGGAGCATGATCTTTACGAGCCTGATGAAGTTCCGGGATCAAGTATGGCGTTGTTAGATACCATTAGTATAGATATTACTTATTCATTAGGCGATATACATGTGATTGCTCCACTAATATTTATTATATCTTTTATGGGATTTCATAGGCCAGCAAATTGGTACTAAGGATCTTCGTCTAAAACTCCAAAAGAAAAGTATCCAACAAGCTGCTCAAAGTGTTAAGGGTTCCGTCTCTGGAGGTATGAGGGATCTGCGCGAAAAGCTCTCTGGTACTGTATACTCGCAAACAGTTGAAAATGTTCCCCCCAAAGCAAAGCCGAAAGTGGCTCCTGAGATAAGCAAACCTGTCAGGAGAAGTGTCATAGCTGAAGCTCCGGCCGTGGAGACAAAAAAAGTTGCAAGTACAGTTTCAAAGAAGAAGTCCCAACAAAAGGCAAGAATATCCCTTGTGCAGATTAGTTTCATCAATGAGCTCCTTTTCAATAGTATTACTTCTTTATCAAATATAGTGATGTTGCCAATAAAACCTGAAAATGCACACCCGAGCATCAGTAGAAAATGGAGATAAACTACTGGAAACCTCCCACACAGAAGGGTAATAGAGTGCTCTAGATGAAAATAACATGTGCCATGCTTTAAATGTTACCATCTTCCTTACTTGCAGTTCTTCAGATATTAGCTCCTTAAATTGCTGCTGGTGCTGTTTTTTTTTTTTTTTTTTTTTTTTTTTTTTTTTTTAATGTTTGTTGGGTCAGTTTCTTGCTTGAAACAGTATTATGCCAGTAGGATTATAGTACTAGGATACTGAACAATGTGATACAAGACCAATATAAACCTTCTTTTATTTGTACCGCCAAGGCCTCCCTAGATTTTGACCGAAGAAAATTTTAAGAAACAAACCTTTGTATAAGCCGGTTATCGTCTGCGTAACCGCAAACTTGCTTTCTTCAAGGCGAGTGAAGACAAGTCCCTCCTCGAAAGGAAAGAGGGACGAGCGGAATGGCTTTGGTACCGGTAAGCATTCCCTCGCCAGGCTCAGTTCGGGCTTTCTAAGTTCATTTCATATTCTATTTATTTGGTATCGCTCATAGCTATGTCCACTTCCCTGCGGCTAGTTAAATGTTTCTGGGTTATAGAATCCAACCAGTGAAGAAACTCTCAGAAGCAAACATCCCTCTGAACTGGGTTCATCCTTAAAAAGAAAAACTACTAAGAATCGGATAAGGTTATGTGCACAGTTGCTTGGAAGATTGATACCTACTGGTTGTATATTTCCAGCGTTGAGTTCTGTGAATGTTGAGAAATTCTTTTTCCAAGTGCTTCTTGTGGTTGGTCTCTATTGCCTTAAGCACCTGTATAGAAATTTCGTTATTCCAGTTTGATAAAAGGAGCTTTTCTGGGCATACGTCTTTGATGTTGTTGTGTATGTATATGCTGTGGGTGACGCGGTTCTGCTCACTGGACTCTAAAATGCTGCTGGAGTAACTGTGTCCCTGCAACATATGCATAGGGAAAATCAACAACCATACTGAATATCAATCACCTGGGACATCTCTTCCTTTGTGCTGGCTGATCCTTTTATAGTGAGCTATCCTTACTCCAACCAGCCAATCGAATGAAAGCCGGGAAGTTTCTTGGTAATATAGATGAATACGGGAATATGCTTGGTCGACATAAGGTAAGATCCTTTAAGTAGTGCCTTGATGCCCGTGGATGATATATGCTTATCCACAATCCACATGCTACCTTGCCTCAACTTTGTAGTGTTTATAGAGTGTTTACCACAATGAGAGTTACATGCTCTTCAACATCTGCTTAGGGATTGATGGTTGCAAGAGAGGTAAGCAAACTTCTTACTTCGATACTTCAAAAGTATAGGCAATTAATTTTTCGAATGATAGACATATAGGCCACGAGTAAGGATTAGGGGAACTTTATGCTTTATACATGAATGGAAATCCCGGCCGCTAGATTAGGATTGATGTCAGGCTGGAGCGCCAAAAAAGAGTTGTGCTTCTCTAGAATCAAGCCCCTATGTGTAGGGAAAGGAAAGAGAGAAGATATGGGAAACCAAACCAGCTTGCATATGGTGCGTGCATATGGGATAGTTTGGAGACAAAGAAACTGAAAATGTTTTGAAGCAAGAAAGAGGACATACTCAGGCTGAAATACAATAGTATTTCTCTTTTGGATTTTTGGTGTAATATGCAGGATGTTTTTGATGTAAATAGACTTATAGATTTTCTAAGTGTCCTCACCGATTAGAGGTGTAACTCAGTTTGTGCAAGTACCACAAATATAACATCCAGCACTATCTTAGTGCCTTTATCACTTAATATAAAAATTTGCTTACCATTTCCTCAAAAAAATAAAAAAATAAGGGGTCTATGCTTTTAGCACTATGGTTTATGGCAAAGGTGGGTTGATGCAGGTGGCATCCTCAAGTTAGGGATTGACCTAGTACTTTTTGTTTTGACCAAAGTATAAAGTGAAAAAAAAAAAACCCTATCATAATGTGGAACGGGCAATATAAGGATTGACCTAGGGGTGGCAAAATTAGCCCATGAAAGTATAACCCCGCCCAAATTTGGATGGGTTGGGCTGTATATATTTTCATGGGTTGCGTTGTACATTTTTTATGGGCTAATTTTGCCTCCCCTAGGTCAATTTATATTACTCTTTTCATGGGCAGGTCAATTTGGTTACAACCCAAGTTAAACATGTAGCCCAAATTGACCCATTGGAGAACTAGTCAAAATAATTAAAAAGAAAATTTTCTCTTGTTAGATATAGCTGTAATAAAGTTTTATTAGTCTTGTTTGGTAATTAATCAAATCATAAGAAAATAAACAAAGAAATCAAAACTAGGTTAGAGTTAGGCAGGTTGGGCTACTACAAATCATTGTTTACCGCATCTTGACCCAGCAAATCTCACCCCAAGTAACAGGTCCAATTTATTGATTCAAACCTATTTTGACTCGCTCAAATTCAGCCCAACCAGCCCATTTGACACCCTAGATTGACCTAGTACTTTTGTATCTCATGGCGTTTGAAAGGAAGCCATACAGTGTATCCTGGTATCCATGTCCAATGTTCTATCCTTGACTACAAACAACAATTAGGTGCGGTGAAATTGAAAAGTCCGCAATGAAATGAAAGAGTTGAAACAAAAATCATGTCAATCTAGTTGAAGAATAATATAAATCTTTTATTCTAATGCAAAGTAATTGTCTTGCCCCTTATATTCAATTTTTTTCTCGGTCAGCCTGCATGCAGTTCTACTATTCTACCCAGTGTTTTTGAGAGCGCGAAGCGCAAAAAAGCGACAGGGGCTCGCCTCGCTTCAAAAGCGAAGCGCAAAACGAAGCGCACGCTTCATTCAAGTGAAGCGCAATTGTGAAAATACATATAATATATATAATAATTAATTTACAAACTGAAATACACATTAAAAAAATCAAATAAACTAATATATATATATATATANGTTTTGTCAAGCAATTACAGAAGCGAGGTTAGGGGTCTGTTTTGTATAATTTACAAACAGACCCAATCTTTTTTTTTTTTTTAAAAGGGCCCAGCTGCGATTTTTTAAAAGAAGCGATCGCTTCATTCGCCTCGTCGCCTTGTCGCTTTTTTCACTGAAGCGTGCGCTTCACACGATCGCATCGCCTCAAGCAGTAAAAAGCGATACCCTCTCGCTTCGCAATCGCTTCGCGCTTAAAGCGACGAAGCGATCGCTTTTCCAAACACTGATTCTACCCGATATCGGTTACCTTCCTTCAGCATAGGTGCCAGGATAATTCTTCTGTTGACCAAGGCTTAGGCAAATCGCGTAGTTTTTTTTTTACTTTGCTAGGATGTGAACCTTAGTCTCACATGTTTTTCACTCATTTCATTGATCGCTTGGCACACCCTTGGGTGCTTGGCTAATTATACTTGTCAAGCGGGCATCTGGGCGCACATAAAACCATTGTCTAATGACGAAGTGCTCAACCTACATTACACTTACCTTCAAGGTTTAAGTTTCCTCCACCGGGCTTTTAACAACATTGTGGCATGCACCATACCTCTGCATCCATGTCCAAAGTTTTATCCTTGACTACTTTGTGAATTTTACGGTCTAGGCAAATCCAACACTTTTCATGCTCGGATTTGACATCTCCACTGTCATCTATGTTGATTTACAGTAAAAAGCAGTAATGGAACTAAAACCTGCTGTAGTGACTATTCATGTCAGTTCTAAACTTGGTCTTTGCGTAATCTTACTGTTACCTAAAAGACATCATAGAGATTATGTTTCTTTCTAGTCTTACCATTCAACTATGTCTTACAACACACTTTCACACATTTCGCCGTATTGTCATTATCTCCTTATTCTTCCTAAATGACGTCTTTTGTGGTGAGTATATTGCATTTGATCCTTATTTATTAAGCTTCCTCAGTTGTGCATGTACAATTAGACCCTCTTCTTTGCATTTTTTACTACTGTATAATCACAGATTTGTGGTTCTCGATGTTCATTCTACTTATTTCATGACTTTGGTTCTTTTCCTTGATTTTATCAGCTATCACATAATACACTAAAAAGATTGAAATTTACGTAAGTATGCTCGTGCGCTGCTCCAGAGTACACTACGTGGGGCTGCTCTTATATTTCGATTTGTACATTTGGTGCAGGTGGAACCAGTGGATAGTTTTCTACAATCATTAGGTCTTGAGAAGTATGCAATTACATTTCAAGCTGAAGAAGTATGTAAATTATTGCTGCTCCTTCCCTTTTTAATTTAGTTTTTAAGTGCTGCAAAAAATTACCTTCTCCCTGTTCTTTTCCTGCAGGTTGATATGGCTGCTCTTGTGCACATGACAGATGAAGATCTTAAAGCTATGGGAATACCAATGGTAAGTATCGTGATTTTGTATGAGAAATCTTTTGAAGATTGTGACTTCCTCTTTTTCATTTTCTTCTTAGTTATTTTTTGCTTATGAATGGGAAGAGAAATCATAATGGAAAAGCATCAAATTAGTAGGTGTTGAGTCTCACATGTGGATCATTTGTCTTCGTATATGGTCTTGGGCAATACTCATCTCTTGAGCTAGCTTTTGGGTTGGAGTTAGGCCCAATGTCCATTTTCTTAACATCGTATCAAAGTTCAGGTTCATCCCAATTCATTTTTTACCTATGTTGGGCGCCCATCTTATATTGTCCACTCCAGTCCTGGGTGTGCGGGGTGTTGAGTCCCACGTCAATTGGGAATTAAGAAATGCGTCTTCTTATATGGTCTTGGACAATCCTCACCTCATGTGCTAGCTTTAGGGGTTGAGTTAGACCCAAGGTCCATTTTCTTAATATGTACTGGAGGCAGCTCATTCATGATTTACCCGATGTTGGACCCCATCTTATAATAATCACGCTCCAGATGTCCAATCCTGGGCGTGTAGGGGTGTTGAGTTTCACATCGTTGGGAGCTTGGATCATTTGTCTCTTTATAAGGTCTTGGGCAATCCTCACCTGCTAATCTGGCTTTTGTGGTTGAGTTTGTCTCAAGATCCATTTTCTTATAGCAGGCATTGTTTGTCATAAGAGAAATTTTCCTATAAATGTTTCTAGAGAAGTTTTCTTTTGGTTTGACAGTCCCGAAATCACGTTGATTTGAGAGATTAGACTTTTTCAAGGCTTACGGCCAAAGGATTCTTGAGTAGCACATCTTTGGATACAAATTTCAAAGTAAACCCTGACCACGTGCTGATAGCTTGGACTTTCAGCCGAGAACTTCTATAGCCATTTGTTCCATTCATTTCTTTGTTTTGAAGCTACTTTAGTGATCTTTTTTTTTTTCATCTTTAGGAGAAATCAAATGAACAATGATGGTGTTGAAGCTATGTTAGTGAAATAAAAAGGATAGCATAGTGTCATTTATTCCATGCTGATTGAAAGCTTTGTCCCTTTTGGTTGTTTCAGGGTCCGAGGAAGAAGATAATATTAGCACTGGACTCTAGAGTCTGATAATTTTGGGTTGCATCTTCCGTGCTGACTTGGCTTGGATTTATTTATTGGTCTGCCATCCAACAAGTCAGCAGGCTTGTGTTTTAACTGTACAAGTCTGTTTCTGATATTTATTTCTTTTAATTTTTGGGTTTTATCAAGTCGGCGTGGTTAACAAGAGCTCGCAGTGTATCAGTACTACAACATTTAATGATGGGCTTGAGCCCTTAAGGGCATATAATTTAATGGCTTTTTGGTTGCTTGTCATGTTAACTTGGGTGCCAAATTTTGCTGCTTTGTCCAGCATCTAGTTCTTTTTACTTTCAATTCATTGCAACTATTAATATTTGTCCGCTTCTCTTGAAGATCAATCAAGGAGATACCATGCTTCATTAACGGTGAAGTGCCTTTTTACTCGCTGGAAAGGTCAATTTGTTCGACTGTAGTTCCAACCTGTACCCTCGTAATATTCTCTTATATTTTATTTCTAATCTGTGCTCGCCGTTGTCAATGCTGAACAGTGTGTAAGCTCCATTTCGTTTGTAATTTCCCTCCGACCTAAAAATATTAAAGGGGGGATTGGTACACTTGTTCCTTTTCATCGCAAAAAATCACTTATTAACTGCTAAAAATAAAGCCAGAATGATTTCTTTCTGCACCATCACTATGGCAGAGAAGGTGGATAGCTGATGTCTTATCTCGGAGATACAAGTTTAGCTATGAAAAATGATCTTGCACAAAGCAAACTTTGCACTGCAATACATTGCGCTAAGCTAGAACCAAAATAGATACCCGTGACTGTATCTAATCATTGTGAAACCTTTTGTACAAAATCTTCAGGCTGTAGTACCTATCTCAGCTATGGATCCAAAACTTCTCCAGAACTTGTACACTACCATCGGAGTCATTTCCAGTCAAACATCCTTTTTCATGTGGCCTTTGCATTTGTCCATTTCAAACCAGTTTTTGTTCTTCTACTTCTTCAAGTTTTGGCTGCAAGCCAGCTGAAGTTGATCTGTAACTCCAACATGCTATTCAAGTTTTGCTTTCCATGCAAGGTACTTTCTGTTTTCTACTTTATATCTTTTCCATTCTCTAATGACTGCAAGAAGCACATGCAGTGAAACTGGCAGAAAGAATGGCTGCAGAACAGAATAAAACACAAGTATAAACATTTATTTCCTCCATCCAGACTAATCTCCTTGTTGGACTAAATAATGGAATCACAATAAAATGCAAACTATTGATTACTATTTCATAGAGAAAGAATGCTGATGCCCTAGTTGCTTTTTCAAAGGAAGGAAACAGAAGTGACACTGAGAATCGCAAAATGAGTCTGATGCAGCATTTCTCATTGGAAATTATATCAATGCAAACAGCAAGTAAAAGACAACAACTTATTATGATGCTTCCCAGGATAAAATGGGAATTGACTTGCAGAAGGTGTATAAGAGTTCAGTTTTTCCGATTTTTCACTATGGTGACGCAGATGGAGCGTCTAAAGAAAACTGCAAGTTAGAATTTTAATATTCAATTAAAAGAGTATAGAAGCTAGCTATGTTTTCACAAGCCATTCACAGATTATAGACATGATCCGAAATATTTCTTCAGAGCAAGGATACATATAAAAATCCTTCTTATCACATCCCTCTCTTCAGCAGTTAACACACATTAAATGTTACTTCCAAAAGGGTCGTGCTTTTAATAATTGCAATGAGAAATAGCCAATTGAGTGGTGATATGTTGGTTGTCTTTGTTGTGTTGAGTGTTGACATAATCAAAACAGAAGACATGCAGAAGCATTGTCTGCTTCATGTGCACTTAAGCCCTACTAAATTGTATATTTTAATTGTTGACGAATACAACCGCTGAAGATGAACACTGAGCCAATGAAAGTGGGGTTGTATAGTTGTTTGTTAACAGGTATAACCTACTAAAAGCAAATGAATCCTGAGTTATATTATACTTCAGTGTCATGAAGCATACCGAATATACAGCAAAACAGTGCTCAAATGAGTAGTAGCTCACGGACATCATTGATGGATGATAGAAGGCATCCTCTGCTAAGGCTCTTGCTTTTCTTGAGGAAACTGATAATAAAGGGAACAATTTTTAGTTTTTTTTAAAAGAGAAGTCCATAAGATAATGACAAGTTGAAGTCATGTTGTATTACTAATGCAAAGGTGAAGGAAGCATACCAGCAGAAGCATCAGAATATCCTAAAGACACATTGCTTAGGGATAATTTTGCAGCTTCAAGAGAATATTTAACCTGTTCAATTACTCAGACTTGTGAGTACTGAGAATTCACCAATAAGTTAAACCACAATCCACAACACATAGCAGACATCTTTTCGGAAAAGAAAATCCATTTTAGTTTCATTAACTCAGGAGAAAGCTAGACGACTAATTAGGGGTCAAATAAATATTCATATGGGAAACAAGAAGTTACATTTAAATTTCGAAATTAGATATTTACAACTGGAAGTATGAAGCAACTAAAAATTCATGGATTGAAACTCTAACCTGTTTCCCTATTTCATCCATGATGATCATCCTGGGAAGGGATTGAACCTGGATAGAGAAAATTGTCAAAACCAAGTATAAAGTACACGGAAAGGACTAGCAGTTGATGACCTACCAATCGAGAAAGAGATCCAAGGGTGGTGCCACACTGAAGAAGATTGAAGCATGTGTGATGCCTAGATAACACATCCAACTCCCTAAAACAAGAGTTTTTAGAATACGTATCATCAAATAAAAAGCAAGTTAAACTAAAAGTGCCATCGTCGAAATCAAACAATTGTTTCGCAAACAGACATTAATATAAACACGTACTGACATTTGCAAAGAAGAAAAAGGAAAACACAAGTGGTCAATATCTGAATGATTTAAGAACCAAAATATGCAACTAGGAGATTCTGAGACAAAACGAGGAAAGGCTGATTCTTTTTGCAACTTGATACACTACTATCCAATAGAACATGAAAATGGAAATGTTTCTTATCATGCACGAATCTACTTAGATCAGTGGTTTAGTTTTTTAAGCAAGCATGCAATATCTTTAAGCTGTTTCCTCCATTCCATCTTTTTCATCCTAACCAGTATCTTACCATTCTGCAAAGCCTTTTGCACTGGTTAAAAGTACAGATGTGGCAAATGCACCAACATAATGGTTCTCAGACTTTAGACCAAATAGCTGGCGCAGCTGTCCCATGAAAACTTCAGATATCTTCTTCAAGTCCTGTTTCAGGACATGCATTTCTCAGTCTTAAGTTGTTAAAACCATCCGAAAGAAACAAAGACATGGACATTACATCCTAATACTTTCTTTATTTCTTTCCCTTGCAAAAAGTAAAGGGCTTCATTCTTGGCCATTCAAGTAGAGACTATACCATAGAATGCAAAAAGTTGCCCTATATCCTTATTATATCAGATAAACACACAAAATAATAACTCAAAAGGAAAGAAATATGAGACAGGGAAGCATCATTATAGAAATCGGCAGTGCCACTGATCATTTGATGGGAATTATCTATATCTCACTTTCTAATTTTAGATTCATGATCCAGGTAAACATATCATGTGAAATTCACACATGTAGACAAACACAAATATGTAACATATGCATAACTGCCTATGCAAGCTACATCAACATGCCTACATGCTCAGGTTGCCAAATGAATACATGATTGTATGCAGAAGACAATTCAGTAACAACACAGCAAATTAAAATCCATGTGAAGAATGCATAGAAATATGTAAAGCATAGAAACACTCCTCTTCCTTTTCAGAAAGTGAAAAGCAGAAGACCTCAAAGTAAAAGGTCTCTTTACTTGTGAACAAAAAAGATCTCCACGTAAAAGTTTATCTTACTTCTCAAAACAAAAGGAGATTCAAAGTAAAAGATTCTCATGTCGAGGAACTGTATATCCTTAAAGCTTTCTCCATGAGGCTCATTCTTCTCGACTTTTTAACTGTTAGACACCATAAAGAGAGGCTCATTTACCTCAGAGGAAATTTTGTGCTTGGGAAGGTGTTGAACTTGTAAATTCTCTGAACAGACGGGTGGATTCCAGACAATAATACCTCCCCACATCTGGAAATCGACTATATTAGACCACATGATAAAATATGAAATAGCTAACAGAGTCTTAAACATGTCTACAATAAATTTGATACTCACTGGAGATATAAAGCCATTTGTCATGGATATCTCTCCATTTGGAAACTGCAACTTTAGAGGGCACTCTTTTGCAGATGGCACATATCTGGCATTGAGAAAGCAAGCGAAAATGTCACTATATAATGCTGAATTTAACCAGCTTAAATTTGGAAGAACAATCAGTTAATGTGACTGGTTTTTGCAATACATAGTGCTCAAGCATCTCATTTTCTTCTTTTTCAGCATACATATAAGAAGTTTGACCTTAATCAGTAGCGCTGCACAAGAGTTGGCAGAAAAATTTCCTCAAAGACTTATCAGATGAAGAGCACAGTGCTGTTTCTCTGCCTATACAAGTTTATTCAAGTCAACAAGTTCCGTTGAAAAAAAGGGGGAAAATACTTTAGCAAGTAGATGCTAATGATATTCCACATACTATAATGTCAGTCCATGCATATTAATATCAGTGCAAAAGCTCCTGCATGTTATTCATTGAATGATATATCCACTAAGAAAACAGGGTAATGAAATCAAAAGCATACAGCACAAAATGCAGGACTTTTGACCGCCCTCCAGCTGCTGTTGAAGTATCCAAGTGCCATTCATTTGAATTTACCTACAAAAACTCAGATAATATACAAATTAGAATAATTTTTTGAATTTCTGTCCTTTTGTTTGGGGTTTTTTTTGTGTGGCTAATCTGTCATGTTGACCATCAATAAGAATATCAGATTCATAGTAATTGTGTTAACTTACAAAGAAAGGAAGATCTTTTGTACTGAAAATATAGCTACCCTGCTTGTCATCCCAATACGAAAATGAAGCCTTTGGAGTATGATATAGAACCTGCATACAAAAGAGCTCAATAAGTATAAGTTCAAACGAACCAAAGAAAAGACAGACTTTAAGTGATATAAGAATATAAAGGGTAGACAGCTAACCTGGCTTTCCACACTAATATCAGCCACTGGTCTTAAAGCATCGACAACAGGAGCCAGCAGAGTCTCATCTAACTCCTGAAAATCCCTGCAGATAGATGATAATATTTTAGACAAGGACGGCTGTAGGCTTTAAGATATGGTTTCGGTAGAACCCAATAGCTTTGGCCTACAAAAGTTAAATTCAGAACCCAATTGTGCACTTGAGATCATTGTCCTAGAATCTAGAACCCATAAACTTCAAATCCTAATCTGCCTCTGATTTTAGATGAGTAAAGAGAGACTAATATATTTGATTGGGTATCAGTTCAAACAAGGATAAACATACATTTGTGAGATATGAACTTTAGCTACCGAAGTAGGCTACAAACACATTAACCAATGCACACTACATTTTAATTCATAGAAGTAACAGAAACACTGTACAATGACACCAAGAAAAACAATTACTGGCAATGAGACACAATGTCATAAGTAAATTAGGATCTAGCTAAAAAAGAGAGAGCGAGGAGATTACCAGTCATAAACCCAATCATGCGGATCAGAATTCAAAAGACTGAATGAAAGCACGACCTTGCCATCTGCACCTACTGGCATGAATTCCCCACGAATTGATCCTTCTTCCTTCCCACCATTCACAAACACTTTGACAAAAATCTCCGCCATATTCTCAACAGCTTTCTCCACAGAATCTTCTCCTACAATCCAAGCATGCCTATATTTTCCAACAACAACTCTCACCTCCGCATTCCTCTTCACCACCACAACCGTATAAAGTTTCCTATTCTTACTATCCAACACAGACTCCAAATACTCATCAAAATCCTCGTCATTGTTCAGTTTATCAAATCCATTCAACGCTCCGCATTGCCATTTACCTACATTTTCGCTTTCACTATGAATACAGTTGGAACTGGAATCAACTGTTACTGCGACGGTATAATTGTTTCCGCACGTGCCACAAGCTGGAGTAACTTTCGAAGTCAACTTTTGCATATTAGAATTGATCAAAAGCCCTAGCTCATTTTTATCAGTAATGTCATCGAAGTTAATAAAAACTGCTCGAAATTGGCAAGGATATCGCAATGGATTCTTCTCCATTGCTGATGATAGTAAATCGATGTCTTCAAATGGCAATGGCGCTCGATAAATTTCGATTGATTTTAGTAAGAAAGGCAAAGCTGTATTATACATGAGAAATAGAAGAAGAAATTGTTACTATTTTTGAAAATGAAGTTTAAATATAACAAAAAAGGAAATGTAAGAGTGTTAGGATTACCGATGAGGAAAGAGAAGAAGACGGTGAGAGTGAGAAATAGACGCTTCAATCCAGGCTTAGTTTTACGCATGGTTTTAGGGTCGAAATCTGATGCCTCTTCCGACATAGTATTAGGTGGATCAGAGGAGGAAATTGGTGCTTCGGAGATCTCCGCCATGGTTGAATCCTTAGGAGCTCCCTCCACCGGCATCACATCACAGTGTAAATATGGCGAAGAAGAAAAGTGAGGAAAGGTTTTGGTTAGTGGTTGTAGGAAAACATTGTTGTTGTCATGTCAATGTGCCGTCTTAGCTCAGCTGGTAGAGCGCATGGCTTTTAACCATGTGGTCGTGGGTTCGATTCCCACAGACGGCGTTTTCCCCTTATTTTCTTTTCAATCTTTTATCTTTTTCGCTTCGTTTTTTTGTTTCCTGAACGGGGAAACAATTATATTTGGATTCTCCTTTCACTTGTATCAGTGGATTTAATTTTGGAAAAGAATAATTGGTTTTACAAAGTTGTTGTGTTTAGATTCGGGATAAAGATTCTTGATGCAGTATCACTAAAATATTTAAACGTGAAAAACGCATGCAGTTTCAGAAGTATTTGTTCTGAAAATTTGTGATGTTAAGGTTTAAATATAATCTTTTAAAAGAATTTCGAGGTATATAGGCTAAAAAACATTCCCAACTAATTTGGTACTGAGACACAGTTGTTGTATGTTTCCCTCCAACACGCTTACCTGCTTATACAGGCAGTTGTAGCAAAGACAAGGACTAAAGAGGTGAACTTCAGATTCCCAGTGGGCATAAATGCGCTTAAAGAACTTGTCACCACAAGACCTCAAACCTCTCCTATTGGGATGCAGACATAGTGCATTGATTTCTCAAATCCATGCTGTTATGGTATCATCTGGGCTGTTTTCCAGTGGAAACTCCAATGCCCAATTAATATCATCCTATGGTAGAGCGGGTGATCTTGAATCTGCCCACAAAGTGTTCGATAAAATTTCCCTGAGGAGAGTAGATTCATGGAATGCGATGCTAATTGCCTATTCGAGGAATGAGTGCCCTGTTGAGGTTGTAAATGCTTATAAACAAATGGTTTTTGAAGGCGTCAAACCTGATAGCTCAACTTTCACCGTGGCACTTAAGGCATGTACGATTTTGCAGGATTTGGAGAAGGGTGAAGTGATTTGGGAAAAGGTGGTCGAGTGTGGGTATGAAAATGATATCTTTGTTGGGTCCTCTATTTTGAACTTGTATGCTAAATGTGGGAAGATGGACAAAGCAGCAATTGTATTTGAAAAGATGCAGAAGAGGGATACTGTTTGTTGGACTACCATGATCACGGGTATTGTACAGAGTGGGAAAGGGAGAGAGGCCGTGGATCTGTATCGGAGGATGCAAAAGGAAGGCATGGTAAGTGATGGTGTTGTTATGCTGGGTTTGATGCAGGCATGTGCTAACATTGCAGACACAAAATTGGGTTTGTCAGTTCATGGTTATATGATCCGCAGAGCTCTTCCTATGGATGTGAATATGCTGACTAGCCTTGTTGATATGTATGCCAAGAATGGAGAGTTGGATCTAGCTACTCGTGTATTTCGAAAAATTCCCTGTAGGAATACTGTTTCTTGGAGTGCTTTGATTTCTGGCTTTGCTCAAAATGGCTTTGCTGTTAATGCTCTTCAGCTGTTGATAGAGATGCAACTGTCGGGACTTACACCTGATGTAGCTTCACTTGTAAGTGCACTTCTAGCATGTTCTCACATTGGCTCTTTAAAATTGGGTAGGTCAATTCATGGTTATGCAGTTAGGAAAGTCATTATGGACCAAGTTTTAAGTACAGCCTTTATTGACATGTACGCTAAATGTGGACTCATTTCTTGTGCCCGTGCCCTTTATGAACACATCGGTTCCAAGGACTTGATATGTTGGAATACAATTATAGCGTGCTATGGGATCCATGGGCATGGACGAGAGGCACTTACCCTTTTCCAGCAGATGAAGGACAAGATAGAACCAGATCATGCAACTTTTGCTGCTCTTCTTTCAGCTTTGAGTCACTCGGGATTAGTGGAGGAAGGACGGCATTGGTTTGATGTCATGGTCAATGAATACAATATTAAACCTTCTGAGAAGCACTACGCTTGTTTGGTTGATCTATTGGCTCGAGCTGGTGAAGTTGAAGAAGCTAAAGATATCATCATTTGTATGGAAATGAAACCTGGGCTTGCTGTTTGGGTTGCCCTTCTATCTGGTTGCCACAAGCACAAGAAGTTTTTGATTGGAGAATTGGCAGCAAATAGGGTACTTGAATTAATTCCAGAGAACACAGGTACTTTAGTATTAGTAGCAAATTTCTTTGCGGCAGCAAAAGTGTGGGATAAAGCAGCTGCTGTGAGGAAGGTTATGAAAAAGGCAGGGATGAAAAAAGTTCCTGGCTACAGTGCTGTGGAGGTAAATGGAAGACTCCATGCTTTTCTTATGGGTGATACAAGTCATCCTCAATATGAACAAATAATTGGACTTCTGTGCAATCTGGAGAATGAGATGAAAGCTATGGGCTATGTGCCAAAGACTGAATTTGTGTGGCAGAATCTTGAAGAAGAAGCCAAAGTGAAAGTGTTGTGTTATCATAGTGAGAGACTTGCCATTGCTTTTGGACTCTTAAACACTGCACCTGGAACCAGGTTGCTTATCACAAAGAACCTGAGGGTCTGTGGTGACTGCCATGAAGTAACAAAGTTTATCTCTGTTATAGTAAAAAGAGAGATTATTGTAAGGGATGTTAAACGATTTCATCACTTTAAGGATGGAATATGCTCCTGTGGTGATTACTGGTGAATCTTGTCTAGACACGCAAAGGTGAATCATGTCTAGACACGCAAAGATATTTCAGGCTGTGTGACTACTGGATATAAACTAATATATGAAGAAAAGGTATTTGTTGCTGCCTTGGCCTTCAATAAGAGGCCCTTCACCTGATAGCTGTGTTATGATCTGTAGAATTTATAGACTGCTATCGTCTTGTCTTGTGAGAAGCAGGGTACTTGTCCCACCTGTTCACCGTACTCCTGGAAATCTTTTAACTGCATTAAAGATTAGGAATCTTCTGGACTTACTTCCTAAAGTATCTCTTGTTAGTGAACTGACCCATTGCATGACGTTCATGCACCTCTTGAGTGACCACTATTTGTCAGATTGAGAATTTGAGTGGGATTTCAGGACATCCTATAGCTTCAATCACACTCTAACAGAGGAACCACTTCTAGCAGGAAATAAGTTGCTTCCACTTCTTCTGAGAGGGAAGCAAATGTTTAACAAGCTTCCAATAAGGCATAGTGGTGTCTTGAGGACTTGACTTAGCTCCTGATTTCTCTCTCATGCAAGCCCTATCAAAATGGCAAATTAAAATGCATCAGCATCAGCGGCTAACAAAAGATAGACTGCATTAAATGGATTTTATCATGGAACAGCAGCGGATAACTAGCATAGTTTTTAAAGTCTGATTGCTCACCAACTGTAAAGATTGCTTTGTATTTCTGCGGAGTTGACAGATTGATTCACTGCTTGATTAAAAGATGAACTGGACTTTGCAGTTTGACCTCCAACGAAAGATTGGGTAATTTTCTATTTTCAGTTGGCAGCAGCAACTAAAATGCAGTAAAGCACTCATGACACAGTTAATTGGGGCTTACTTCAAAAGGTTTCCTGCTTTTCTTCACTCTTCCATTTTTTCGCCCCAAAACTAGCCAGGCATTCTAGACTTTGTCCTTGGTGGTTACTACTTCTACTTAGTCTAAGCAAGATGACTTCCATTGTCAAAACTCAAAAGTTATCTTGTGTTACTGTGTTAAATTGCTAAATCTTACGTTAAGTCACAATCAAATACACCATTATTTGTACTCTTTTAGCACTTGGTTCTTGCCGTATTTTAATACCTTTCTCTGCCTTTCAGCAGGTAACCAAGACTTTGTATTTGTTATTGGAATTAGTTGAAGCAATTAGAAGGCTGCAAATCATTAAGTAATTGATATGCTTGGAAAGGTACTCTCAGAGAAGTAAGAATGTTTACAAGCGGAATGCTCTCTCATCTCTTCAGACCTTTTTCTCTGGCTTCTGCTTCAAATGATTTGAGAAGCTACTGAGCAACTGCCTATCGTTTATCAATAACCCAAGAGCAAAAGACTTCTACAACAAAGATCGTGATTTAGTATGAGCCTCCAATAGCTTTTTATATAATGTTTGGCTGCTCTTAAAAGGACAGTTGTTTTTCCTTTTGGTCTAAGCTTCTTAATCCCTTGGGTCTTAAAACTGTGCAGATGTATGAAAAATTGAGCATGTAGCCCTCCCTATAAACTATTAACATTATATAGTTACATTTGTTTCAAGTTGTTTAAAACTCAAAGCAAAACTCATGGAAAGCTTTTGCTCACATCTTTCAGTTTGGACTTTCAAGGTAAGAATAGAGATAACACATCTTAATAGTCTGATACAAGGCATTTGGATTTTAGCAATGTCTATATCGGAAAAACAATACTACAAGATTCTCAATGATTGACAACAACTCCCAAAATCCCTTCTGCTAATACAAGGGTCAAGGCGTACAGGCACAAAATGTTCATTCAACACAGCCAGTTATCAGAAACGTTTCAAAATTTGAACCAATGGGTTCTGTCTATTTTCTCAACTCCGATATCCATGAGCTTGATTCTGAAGATTTTGATTGTCTTCTAACAGCCGGTCATATTCTAAAAGTAGATCTGCAGCTTGTTTTTGGAGGGCAGCAACATGAGCTTCTGCAGTTTCCACAAGTTTGTCTTTGTGCTCCAACTGCAACTTGACCTTCTTCAATAACTCTGTTAAACTAGATATTTCTTTCTGCGACTGTTTCATTTCTTCGGCAGCTTTATCTGCCTTCTCCTTAAACTGCAGCTTTTCTTTCTCAAGCCTTTCAAATTCTTTCTTTGACGATCCCACAGTATTGCGTAATACAATCAGTTTCCGAAGGTAATGGTGCATACGATCAATTAAGAATCCAAGAAACAGAGAAAACCCTGTCCGATAAATGTCATTCAGGTGCAGATAAATTAGCATAAAAGGAAATTAAATAATAACTACATATGATGCTGAACAATTCAAAATTTCAGCGGCATGCTTAAATTTAGCTACCTGAACAATTTAACCATTTATAATGGTTTTCTCCATCTCAAAACATAATATTTCAGAATCAGATCTATATACTACATTTAAGCACTTGTAAAAGTAGGAAGGCATATCCTTCACTCACGCAATCAGCTGTAAATCTGGATATGTATATATGTAGTACCTATCGTTTGTGCATTCTTACTCCATAATCATGCCATATCAAATGGAATATACTAAACTGCTTCATGAAAGAATCAAGGAACGACCTGAACAGAGAGTGACTCCAAACATTTCTTTTACTAAGATGGAACATTTCGAAACAGTAACAGAACCATCAACAGAATATCAACAACAATTGTTGAGAAATGACTCTATGTCAAACGTTTGCTAAACAACCTACTCTCTCCATATCCCAAGATGTTTGAGAAAACTGTTTTCTTACACTTGAATGTTGTTAGACACTAAAAACAATAACGCTTTAATTACCTAAAACAAAAATAAAGCTTTTTGAATGGCTGGCATTAAAGCAGCTACTTTGCTAGACTATCATCCCTAAATTAAGATCAAGAAGCAGGATTACCGTTGCACTGCTTGTCAACTGCATAAAACTTCTTCTGACAGCTAGGAGAGAAGAATTCCCCCTCTTCCCCCAAAACCGAATCACCAACAAAAACAAACCCAATATAATCCCACGAGCGGGTTCTGGAGAGATTGTTTCCGATAGACCCTCGGCTCAAGAAGAAAAAGAAAGCAATAACAACAAGCAATACCAACAACAAGATAATAAGAAACAAGCAATAACCATAACAAGATAATAAGAAACAAGCAGTAACCATAACAAGATAATAAGATAACAAGCATTATTAGCAATATAATAAGAAAACATGTAGTAATCAAGGTTGTCAATAAACAAAAAACAAGGCTGACTAACTACTACTATCGGTATGGGGAAGACACACACTCAACTACCTACTAACCTTCTACCCTAATCCTCGACATCCACACCTTCCTATCAAGGGCCATGTCCTCAGTGAGCTAAAGCAACGCCAAGTCCTGCCTAATAACCTCCCCCAGTACTTATTTGGCCTACCTCTACCCCTTTTCAGACCACTCAAGGCCAACCTCTCACACCTCACTGGAGCATCTGTGCTTCTCCTCTTCACATGCCCAAACCACCTAAGCCTCGCTTCTCACATCTTGTCCTCCACCGAGGCTACTCCTACCTTGTCCCGAATATTGTCGTTTCTAATCTTATCAATCTTGGTATGTCCGCACATCCATCTCAATATCCTCATTTTCGTTACCTTCATCTTCTGGACATGAGAGTTCTTGACTGACCAACCCTCTACTCCGTACAACATGGTAGGTCTGACAACCACTCTGTAAAACTTACCCTTAAGTTTAGGTGGCAAATTCTTATCACATAAAACACCGGATGCGAGTCTCCATTTCATCCACCCCGCTCCGATACGATGAGTAACATCCTCATCAATCTCCCCATTTTCTTGGATAATAGACCCAAGGTACTTGAAACTAGCTCTCTTATGGATGACTTGTGTATCAAGCCTCAATTCCACGTCCACACCCTCAGTTTCGTCACTAAACTTGCACTCCAAGTACTCAGTCTTGGTTCTACTCAACTTGAAACCTTTAAACTCCAGGGTCTATCTCCAAACCTCCAGTCTCGCGTTAACTCCGCCTCGCATCTCGTCAATCAAAACAATATCATCAACAAATAACATACACCAAGGCACCTCCCCTTGAATGCGGCGTGTCAGCGTATCTAACGCCAAGGCAAATAAGAATGGGCTAAGAGCCGACCCCTGGTGCAACCCCATCACAACTGTAAAGTGGTCCGAATCCCCCCTCCCCTACCCACCCCCACCCCCACGATCCTCACTTGTGTCTTGGCTCCATCATACATGTCCTTAATCATCCTACTGTAAGTCACCGGAACACCCCTAGCCTCCAAACACCTCCATAGAATCTCCCTCGGAACTTTGTTGTATGCTTTCTCTAGATCAATGAACACTATATGTAAGTCTCTCTTCCTTTCCCTATACTGCTCCACCAACCTCCTTACAAGTTGAATGGCTTCCGTAGTCGAACGTCCCGGCATGAATCCGAAAAAAATTAAAAGAGTTAACTTTTCTATCAACTTTTGCTTCATTTTCTTGTTTCCCATCACATCTCAAAGATGATTTCTCATATTAGTCTGGTATTAGCTCAATTCTAAAAGCATATCCTATCAGACCAGTTGCTATCTTGTTTTCTTTTAGTAGGACGAACAATTCAAATAAAGGTCGGTTCCCACAAATTCCAACTAACTCATCAGAAAAGCTTGAGAACAAGCTTCCTTCATGCATGAGAATTTGGTAAAAACGAATACATAATTAAGATATTAAAAGACATCCAATAAATCTACTAGTTAATCCTACCAAACATAATTATCATCAATTGAAATGCAAAAATGCAATAGGCAAGGCTTAGTTACATGTGCCTGCTAATTCTCTTCATCCGCATTCAAACCAAAAAGTAACAGCCAACAAATAAGGGGCAGTATATAATAAATCCTATGCATAACACCACCCTCCCCCCCCCCCCCCCTCCAAAACAGAATACAATCATCAACAAAAACAACTGAACCAAGAATCTGCACTTCATTTGCCATGCCACAATAACATCAAATTCTCACAAGTAGAGTTGTTTTATTATCAGAAACCAACAATAAATGAATTGAACTCACTATTTGCATTTTATAGAAGAAAAGGGAAGGGTTAGGATCATACCCATGAGAGTAGCCTCTAGCAAGTTGGTTCTCCACAAAACTTGATCCATTGGTGTCATTGTACCAAGCTTAGCTCCCTTGTTCTGAATCTTGATAATACTAATAAAGTTGGAAAATAATATAGCTGCTATTGTACCAGCAATTGTTAAGACAGTACCCTTTCTCATCTTCACCTGATCCAAACACTTCATTACCAGTTCCCTCAGTGGCCCAATCTTCACCATTAGAAGAAATGCCACCATACCCTCCAAACATAGAACCATAAACAACAATTGAATCATCTTTGCACTTTTTTTTAATTAAAAAAAATCACTTTTTTTAAGCTTCAAACTTCCTTTAACTAAAACCCCACTTTGAAAAATAAGAAATTTTCTTCAAAAAAACCAAATCTTTAAACAAAACTACAAGTTAAAGATGCCTAATAATAAAAAACGAATTTTTTTAGAACCCATTTATAAAGAAGTGTAGAAGGAAGAACCAAACCCTATAAAGCTAGTGACTTTAGTAGAAAATGTTAAAGGGTTTTGAGCTGCAGATCTATGGAATTAGTTGCTAATAGAAAAAAGATATTTAAGCAAAACCCATTTTAGTTCTACTTTCACCTTTTGCTTTCTCTAAGCAAATGGTGTGTTGGGTTTTTTGGGGATTAGTGGGATGAGGTTTTCACTTTACCTTGGGAAAAGGAATAGGAAGGAGAAAAAAGGTGGGAAAAAAGAAAGAAAGAAAGGAATTAAAAAAGGTGAATTATTAATGTTATTTTGCTAATATTAGTGTCTCTGTTCGGACATTAGAAGTGGGTTTACGGGAGTTGGAAGGACCATTGCGCTTCAGTCTTCATGCGTACTTGTTGCTGAATCTGCCCTCTGTTCTCACGTACATTGAGTTCTTCTGTACAAATTGCAAATAAGCCCTCGAAGTTTTGAACTTTGCTTATAGACCCCCCCACATAATTTGACTGTTTTATTATTATTGTTAGTATTATTGGTTTTTGACTGGTTTGGATTTTAAAGAGTAAGTTTTTGCATAAATGTTTAGATAAAAATCAGAATTAAAAGCTAGAGCTATGATTGAAAGTATTTAAAACCTAATATGAATTAATTATAAACTCTTAAATTTGCTTAGAGAAAAGGGAGCCTTGGCGTAACTGGTAAAATTGCTATCATGTGACTAGGAGGTCACAGGTTCGAGCCGTGAAAATAATCTCTTGCAGAAATGCAGCTCTATTTTTTTTCTTCTTCAATTTGCTTTGAGATTATGTGAGAAGTTGAGAACATAGGAGTACTTGGATGGATTTAGAAAATCTCCATTTTAGCAAAATTGAGTGACGGATTCAAATTTCCTAATGTGCAGTAAAAAATAAATGGTTGAGTGATGGAACGAAACATGCCAAAATTAAACATAACAGATTCATGTAACAAAGCGTAATTATTTTAGAACTGAGGCAAGTTGTTATTGTTCTTGTGTTAGCTTTTTATAGGAAACATATATCCTCTAAGGAAATGGGAAGGTTTTTTGGATGCAAAAGAACAAATGCCAAGTTTTTCTTTTCTCGAATAGGGTGTAAAAGTAAACTACATGAATTATAGATATAATGTGAGAGCAAAATGTATTAAGTAACTCATTAGATGAATAAAAGCAAGAGAAACTTTCAGAAACCACTATATTTTAGTAGTTATTAGCTAGTTGTAATTACCATTTACTATATTATTTCATATAGCTATGTTTTCAGGTTTTTTAGAATGTATTCGATGTATTTAAGCTATTGTATTTATGAATACAGTAGCATTTCCAAGTGTGAAACATGGGATTACAGCTAGACAGATTATTGTATTCGACTGTATTCCCGGCATGAAACAGGGATTACAGCTAGACGGATTATTGAATTCGACTGTATTCGACTATATTCGTAACGTAAATAGCGCAATTCATGGTCTATTCGGCTGTTTTTAAATGGAAAGTGAATCAATTAACATAATAGACTCCTAATATAACTCAACAAACTCAATTATAACACACAAACTTTGTATTTTCAGTTATAAAAAAGATTCTCAACCGAAAAATACCCCAAAAATATAGCAATCTTCAGAGAAAATATGCTGAATATTTTTTCCAGCTGATAAATATAACAAAAACAGAGCAATTTGAATACATATATACATCTGAATACGTAAATTATATTAATTAAAAAAATATATGAATACATTCATGGAATACAGCAAGACAGTGAATACAATGAAATACATGGAATACAACGAGATACATTGAAATACAATGAAAAAAAAGACAATGAATACAATGAAATACATGGAAATACAGCGAGATACATTGAAATATATTAACAGAATTTTCAAGTGGCCACGATTCTGGCTCGAAACGCCACTGTTCCTGTTACTATAATACTCTCACGTGCGCTTCAAAAAACCTATTCTTTACAATTGAATTTGAATGGCGCTTGTGGATTGGGACGGAAAACCCCAGATTGGGCAGAACCCTAGAACGATGAAGAGAAAATGAGGACGGAGATTTATATAGAGTTCTGTTTCTCGTGATACAATGGGCCAAATTTTTGGACTCGAAACGGCACTGTTCATCGGCCGGATCTGGCCGTTCGGAAATAACTCGTCGGCAGAGATCCATCCTCACTATTAATTTATTAACGTTGCTTATACATGGATACGAACCCAGTAAAAGTAAAGAAAAATAGTGAAGTGTCTGTAGGTCACACTTAGCGCATAGCAGCAACAACACCTTAAATTGATGAAGCTTGCCTCACGATCTTGCCAGTGAATGCGTTGTGAAATATGTTGTAGGCGCAGAATTGACTCTACCGAAGAACCGGTTTCGGTTCCGATTTGTATTTGGGATAATCGTGGTTTCGATCTGTATTTGGGAGAATCGTGATTGTATTCATGGAGAAAGACTGGAGTTGAGAGAGTGGAGAAAAATCTGAAAGAATGAGAGAGAAAAATAATACAAGGCGTATTTTATGGCTTAAGAGTAGGAGGTGACCATAAATAGATATTTGGCTATAAAAATCAAAAGGTAGCTATGGAATATAATTTTTTAAAAGGATATTTATTTAAAATAAATAAGGTATCAACATTTGCTATAGGAGGTAAAAATTCCTAAAAGCAATGGCTCAGTGACTGTTAAGTTGTCGAGCAAACCAAAACATACTGGGCATGGATGGAACCAGGTTGATAAAAGAAAGTAGCACTAATAGCATATGCTTAAGGTAACATAAGAAAGAACAAAAGTAAGACTTACTCCAAAACTTGAGGAATTATTTGAGTTAAATCGTGTTGTTTGTTGATATTACTTCTTTAACAACTTGTTTTGATGATGGTTACCTATTGTATCGTATCGTATTGTTATTTTAAATATAATATTTATTTTGATTGTTACTTAAATTTTATCGTATCTTATTGTATCGTTAAATCCGTCGTTACGTAACGACGAAAAGTGCCAGTTTATGTAATGACCGATTTGGTCTGGTCGCGTCGTTACCTTATATGTTTTTCTCATCTCGCCCTTCATTATTAATAAATAATCTTATTTTATCCTTTTTTTTTATATAATAATTCTATCTCGTATCATAATTTTTCTTTATAATATTGCAAGTTTATTCTTCATATTGTGTGTGCATGATGTCACACCTCCTTTTTCTACCCCGAAAGGGTATAGGGGAGTTTTTCCAATTTAAGTGACAATCGAAACGAGATTATTATATTAAATTCAGAGTCGCCACTTGGGATAATTTATGGTGTCCCAAGTCACCGGTTTAAAATCCCGAATCGAGGAAGTTTGACTCTGTTTTACAGTCTGCGAAACACAGAAATCGGGGTAAGGAATTCTATTAACCCGGGAGAAGGTGTTAGGCATTCCCGAGTTTCGTGGTTTTAACACGGTCGCTTTAATCATACTTGGCTTAATTAAATTGTCTAAATACTTATTCTTAAACCTATGTGCATCTACCCCTTAACCGCTTTTAATTGCTTGATTAATCGTAAATTTGGAATTATCTTAAAATGAGTCACGTACGTGTACTCATTGCGTTTGGCGCGTCAAGAATCATGTCACGCGTACGTGCCCACAATTAATCACGCTTTATTATTATTAAGAAAATTTGGCCGAAGTTGCGCGAAGGCATACCTCGATTTATTTTGAAAATCATAATTATGTCGTGCGAACATGTACACAATCACGATGATAAATTTAAAATGCGTCTAAAGCATTTCTACAAGTGTTCATTATTCTTCCTAAACTTTGAGGTTGTTGTGATGTCAAATTTATGAACAAGATATTATTGGGGGGCAAATAGGCTAGCTAACGTGATCTATTACTTGGCCAGATTTCTTATGGTCAAAAACCCACCTTATGGCCCATTCTTATTCCTTGCCAAGAAAGAAACAACATCCAATTTTTCCATCTACCCGATTAAAAGCATTTATTCAAGAACCAAGACTACATACATCACAATCGAAATAAAACTAATTAAAGCATTTAAATGAAAAACTAAGACATACTACTCAAACAACGTAGAATCACAAATCAACCAACAAGCGCACCAAGCTATCATAACACAATGAAATGAGAATGAAAATTGAGAAATGGACCTTTTATCGATGAACAAAGCTGAAAATTGCAAATCAATTGGGCTAAACAAAACAACAATCCTTGGACCGAAACACCAAAATTACAAACCGGAACTTCGACTCGACACCGGAAAGCTCGAAACCCAAATCTACCTCAGTCAAATGATAAACTAAAACCTCAAACATCTGACAACTGATTACAAAATGGCGACGAATGAATGAGTTATCGTAATTATTGACGAAAGAAAACGAAATCGTTCAAAGAAAAAGAGTCACAGCTTTGCATTGGGAACTTCTTTTCTTTGTATTGTTTTCTGAGTCCCTTTTAGATCCGATCGAAACAACAAAGAATGATGAGTTAGGCACCTTATTTCGAAGTGCAATTACAGTGTAGTAAGGCAACTGTATCTGCATACCAATGAAAGGCTCCTTTATGAAAGATCTCGAAATGTGGCAACCAATGAACTGCAGGAAACTGTTGATCCACACGGAATTCTCTCCAAGAATCAGTGTGCAAATCATAAACCTCAACTATTTGATATATCACATCGGGAGACCAATCAGTATCCTTAAAAACTTCTAAAATCCTAATCAACTTGTAGTCAATCCCGATCCAATCGAAACCAAACCCAACACCACCGATAATGGAGCGATTGAAACCCTTTAGGCAAACAAAAGGGCTAGATGGGAGTCCCCATGTAATTTCTAGTAGCTGGATTAAATAAGATAATAACAATCTCAAAGCTTCAGCTGTGGCCGATTTTTTAGGGAGTTCTTTTGGGTTGTAGGTATTTTTTTTTAACTAGGTCTAGGTCTAGGTTGTGAAGAAGAAGAAAGGTCTTTTTAAAGTGTTAGGGTTTTATGGGTATTGGGCTTGGATCTATGGGCTAAGGGTAATTGGGCTTGGATTTAGGGAATTGGGTTGGACCATATCTTTTGAGTTTGAATCTAGGCTAGGAAGACCAAATAGTACAATGTATCTATAAAAATATAAAAATCACTCTAAATTAAAATAAACTACTATAAAACTAAATACTAAAAGTGAAACTAATTTTTGTATTTTCAAATGTTATAATACTATAAATATAAATATACTAATTGACTTTAACCTAAAGATGAAAATATTTTTTTTTTTTTGTAATTTTCATTTTTTGTGAAAAAATGAAGTAAAAGAGTCAAAACTATTTAGAATAGCGATACTAAACCTAAATTAAATAT